TTATTATTATTATTCTACACTGTTGTTGCTGTTTAAGATTTCTGTATTATATAATATTGGAATGTCAAGTTCTTATTCAAGTAGATTTTAGTCATGATGAAGATTTAAACAAATAAGCTTTATAAAATCTTTATAATCATCATTGGGAGGGTTTTAATATTATATGTATTTATATATATATATATATATATATATATATACATATTTTTTTTAAAAAATATGGAATTTTTTTAGATCTTGTTACCACTAGATCCACTAGTTGGTTTTATTATGATATTACAGTCTATTTATAACTCATTTACTTTTATTTATGCACTCTATGCACTCTATTTTAATAGTGTGATATTATATATTATACTATATTATACTATATTATACTATATTATATTTTTTCTATTTTTTTTTATTTATTCTATTTTTATTTACATAAATCATTTATATATGTATTGGGCACATTGAAAGATGGTGATTGTAATAATATCCAGGATTTCATTTGGATCTTAAACGACCATTCAGTATATTCAATGAAATTTTACCTTGACGAAAAGCAACAAAATTTTTAAAATTTTAGAATAATATACATATACACACATTTATATATTATTACCATTTAAACAAATTATTTTAAACAAATTATTATTAACAATGACTATCATAAATTTCTATGTATATATAGATTCATCGAATTTGAGGATGAAATTGCTGCTAATACATCAGTAACCTCTATGAATAATTTTGAGTTGGGAGGGTTGATGTTACGTGTAAGGAAAGCAGTAATTGGTGGACCTCTTAGTGAAGGCATGAAGTCAATTGAGAAGTTACCACCACCATTACCACCACCTCCGCAAGCATCATCATTATCACTTTTTGGAGGGATGTCATCATCATCAACTTTACTGTCTGCAGCAGGTTTTAATTATTTATTTATTATATTAATAAAATAGTGTATAATAAAATTTTAATTTAGATATTATTATTATTATTTATAATCATTTTTATTATAGCTGCAACTGCCAAAGCTCAAAATGTAGCAGCAAAAATAGCAGTGGATATTGTATCAAGAAGTCAAACATCTGTGGAATCAGTTGCTCAAGAAGAAAACATGAGTATTACTTCCAGTCAACG